GTATGTGATCACTCCCATAATGGAATGTGCTGAATGGTACCGGCAGGGGTGGGGCCTGATGGCAGCTCACCGTCCCCTAAGCCTTCATCTCTGGGCCTTCCTCCACCTACTTCCTTCCTGGTCACCTTGCTGGGGCTTTTGTTTTTTCTAGATCCTACAGCTGGCTCCTGTTTGTCTGACCTCCGGTTCTTGGGACTTGAGCTAGCAGCTTGCCTGCCGATCTTGAGATTCGTGGATCTTCACAGCAGGCTACAGCCCTGCTCTCTGGCCTGCTGATCCTGGGTTCACCAGCCCCTGTGGCTACATGAATCAGGAGAATCCTCTTTCCTGCCCCATGGACTCGGTATGTACAGCCTCTAAAAACCGCGTGAGCCACTTCCTTGATATAAATCTCTCTCTCTCTCTCTACTTGTATGTATATTTGCTAAACAAATTCAAAATATTTCATCTTTTCCTAGCAGATTGTGAAGAAAAGGATAAGGAACTTTGTTCAGTGGTAACGTCTGCCATCTGCTGGGAATAAAGATGAAATTGTTATAACATCAACCAGTTATATAAACAACTACCTCTACTTAGGCAGTGATATACAGATTACTGGTTTTGCTTCTCTAGAGAATTCAGCCTAAGACACTGCTCTGCTCTCCAGAACCTTAAGCTTTCAGACTCTACTCTCTGTGGAAAGGCCAGTAGTAGGTGGGAGTATATTCAATTTAGGGGCTACTAGCAAGTCCACTGTTTCCTCACAATTAAAACAACTTTTTCAAACAGATTGCCATCTGCCTAACTCCTGGTTGCAATCTTGGGTAGAAAAAAGAGAAGTGGGATTGACTGGGTCCCCTAAAATCTCAATAAGAACTACTATGAAAAACAATGTTAGAAATAGATATTTATCGAAAGACTTGTCTATACTTGCTATCTCAACGTCTCTTCCCTTTCTCTCTTGAACCCACTTTAATTCAGTTTTCATTCCCACCACTCCAGATCCCTACATTGCCAGCCTTCTTACTTGACTATCAGCAGCATTTGACAACAGTTGATCACTTCCTCCTCCTGCTCAAAACACTTTCTTTGCTTGGATTCCAGAGCACCACTCTCTCCTAGTTTTCAGCCTACTTCACTGGATGCGGCTTCTTCCTATTCTTCCAGATCTCTTAATATTGGAGAATGCCAAGGGTCAGTTCTTAATGCTCTTCTTTTTTCTTCTCTTCTTTATCTTCACTAACTCACTAAGCAATATATCATGGCTTTAAATATCAACTATATGTCAATGACTCCAAAATTTATATTTCTATCTCAGACTTCTCTCTTGCATTCTATACTCACATACAATGGCCTACTTGGATTATTTGCCCCGCATACAAACTGAATAAGTATGATGAAAGGATACAACCCTGATGCACACCTTTCCTGATTTTAAACCCTGCAATATTCCCTGATTCTGTTTGAACAACTGCCTCCTGGTCTATGCACAGGCTTTGGCAATATAACTCCCTCAAAAACTTAGTGGCCTTTGATCGATTTGTTTTCAGTCAGTTCCATGTGCCAGTAACCACATAAACAAAATTCTTTCCTAGACATAATTTTCAAGCTGATTTATTTCTTTGCTTCCTTGCCGTTCTCTTTAAACTAATGGCAGCCACCTGGAGGCCATGTGAAACAAGAGGTCAGTGGATCTTCACTTTGGCAGCACAACAGAATCACTTGGGGAACTTTTTCAAAATCCTTTTGTACCACAGACCACTTAAATCAGAAGCTCTGCAGGTGGGACCAAGGTGATTCTGATGAGCAGCCATGAACAAAAACCACTACTTGGAGAGGCCATACCCTCAATCTGATCTTTGCCACAGGACTGAGTCGCAGTTTTCAATAAAGAAAGTTTACTGGGCCTTTTTTGCTCTAAGTTGTTTTCAACTCTTATCTCTTACTCTCTGGGGTCTAGAAGTAGTCTGTTTTTCCTTTCACTGCCTCAAATACTGGAACTTTCTTTATTCTCTTTCATTTTTTATAAACTAGATAATTCTTTCCTAAGCTCATCTATTTCTTACAATACCTTACTGATAATAGCACACAGCTAAACACTCTGATCCTTTTTAATATCTGACCTAAGCTGGCATGAACTGTGTCTTCCAAGTTATCACAGAGACACATTTTCCAAATGGCCCCCCAATATCAATCTCCTCATCAGTATGCCACCTAACTGCTATGACAATGTCACAAATTTTAAGGTTTTATTATACCAGAATTCCACTCCTAGTACTAACTGCTGTCCCAAAAACCCTAAAACCTCAGTGGTTTAAACACAAAGCTTTTTACCGGCTGCCATCACAGTCAAGCAGGCTGGTGGAATAGCCTTCTCCACCTCTCACTCAATGATCTAGTTTCCTTTCATTTTATGGTTTCACCCTCCTCTGAGTCCTAGTGGAGGCAGAGAGGGTAGAGACAGTACCCTTCTATTAACTGTCTTGTTCTGGGAAGACACAGATCACTCTGTCCACATTCTGCTGGTAGAACTAACCACATGGCCACCCTGGGATATAAGAAGGGCTGAGAAATGTAGTTTAGATGTGTGTCCAGCAAGAATAAGAAAACACTGATGCTGGAAAGTACAAGTGGCCTCTTCTACATCCCTCAAAAATTAAGCTCCATAGTGCAAGAGTCTTTGGTTTGTTCATAGATGTACTCTAAGTGTCTAGAGCACTGCCTGGCACATAGTAGATGCTCAAAAAATATCTTCTGAGTGAATGAATAAATGTATGGACAAGTTGAATCACAGATATGGTACCACGTGGCATTTTTGTTTTGTAACAAAGGCAAACTGAATGGACTGGGGACTAAAAGAAAAATGAATTATACTGCATAGTTACTTAGACAAAACATTAAACAGAAGCTTATGGGAAAATAAAAATACACTTCTAGGCACCAAACACTACACAAATGTACAATGAAAATATATACAAGCTGGTTGAACACATAGTAAATTCATCTGTTGTGAACATACAGAAACATTCATTCTAAGTATTAGTATAAATACAATGGACAATCTTTACAGAAATTATATTAAACTGATTACACATCCTTTTGCTAGGCAGAAAATGTCTTTACCCACAACAGCCTCAAAAGTTTACCCACATCTTCCTCAAACAGCAAGGGCACTGCACATACAAAGTTCTAATTTTGAGAACAGTTGCAGACACACACATATACTGTGAAAAGACCTGACAAGTATGTATGTACAATACACAATGCACACACTCGTCAAACTTCAGAACTGACACATTTATGATACTAGCTTTAAAATTATGCATGCTGATAATATTTGATTTTCCTTGAATGTTTAAGTCACTAGCCCAAAAGTGAAGGGCTTATTAAAAGAGAAAGCAAATAACAAAGGTGAAATAAAAATAATAGGGGTAAGACCTTCTACACAAGAGTGTTGTTCAGTTCAAATAAGAATGTAAGAATCCACTTGTGATGTGTGTACTTTTCTGTATGTATGTTATAGTTCAATGAAAAAATTCAAAAGTGTATATGAAAAACTTCTTTGTAAATCATAAAGCAGTATTCAAACATTAGTCAGTTATCTTTAAATAAATATAAAAACCCCAATTTAAAAAGTGTTATAGATTAGGTAGATGAGCCAGTTCAAATTAAGGTGAACAAGAAGTTCCTCATTTGTCGAGTCCTAGCATCTAGAGTGAGAATTTTCAGAAAAAATACCATACCAGCTAATCCAATCACTATGAAAGGTAACAGAGCAAAAAACTACCTCAAGTCTAAAGAGTCAGACTTCTAAACAAGAAACTGAGGAATAAATAATAAATCAATACAGTAAAGTACTTATACTTTAAGAAAGGGAAAAGTAACAAATTAAAAGTCTACTAAAAGTTATCTCTAGTCAACAAAAACGAGGAGAAACTACTGGGCTTCTTTCTTCTTTTTTTTGAAGATTTAAAATAATGACTCCTCAAACAAACCCTACTGGAATTCACAACACAAGACTCAGAATCGGATGTTCAGTTTAACACAATTCTGTGGTTAACTGAAAACCTACATAATTAAAAAAAATTCTAACGCATTGTCAGAGATATAAAGTTAAGTGTACACTTGAGTTGAAGTTTTTTTTTTTTTAAACCAATTTCTGATTTGAGCTTATTTGCTTTTTTCTTGGTAGAGTTTTAAGAAAGAAAGAAAGAAAGAAAAAAAAAAACCTGGTTATGGAAGCTTTCTAATACTTGAAATCCAGTAGGATGACCAGGTTTAAGAATCTAGATCACCAATTATACATCTGACCCTATATATTTTTCTAGTGTTAGCAAACCAACCAACAAACCAAAACTAGAGGGAAAGGTTTTAAAACAATGGCTATCACAACTTTTGGGAAAAGACAATTACGGCATTCTTAAAACTCTGGAAATCAGCTGAAGACAGAAAGAAAAATGATGATGCTAAGTATGCCACAGAAAAATCAGACATCAACCCTCACCCAAATACTGTTATTTTAAAACTATTTTTGAAGGTCAGGATACACCCCAATATGGCAGTGGTTGTAAAATACAATATTTCCCCCAACCTTAGAGAGACAAAGATTTAACTCCTTTATTTTATGCAGCGTTCTTTCAACATCTAAACTGTAAACATGAAGAAAATTTGCTTGAAAAAAGAATTTTAAACGCTCAGAAGAATAAGCATTTGGGGAGATACTTTTTGCACAATGTTAAAATGAATAGAAACTTACTTTTCACTTTGGACCAGAAGCATCATAACATTTAATTTTACTGAATAAAGGGACCACTTCAAATGTAATTATCTCCACCTTCTGGAATTTTTAAATTCTACTTTTAAAATCAAGTGTTGCTGCAGCGTGATTATTTTTGCAACTCCCAGCATAACTGTTAGTAGTAGGATATTATTATACCACATCCTAAACTGGCCCAAGTTCTGTTACTGATGAAACAGACAGACAGTCGGGGAACACAGACTGAGACACAAAACAGAGTTACCCAAGAGGAATGCTCCTTCATCTGGTGTTGGTTGCTGTGAGGGCCACTGGCATGGCCGCGCCAAAAGCAATTTTGGCAGAGCTGGTAGTTGTGGCACTGCTGGCATCGGTACCGGAAACCCATCATACTCTCACACCGGCAGTAGGAACACTCCACAGGATGGAAGACTTGTAGAAGGGAAAGCGAGAAGGGCAGGGGAGAAGGGATGAGATGAGAGGAACAAAGAAATAATTTTCAGAGAATAAAGTCAATACAGAGAAAAACCAAATTTAATATAAAGGCAAGGGTGAAGACAACACGAGAACCAAAGACTCTAAATTGCCTGCTAGCTAGTCAATGCAACCAACCGCCTACAACAACAAAATGACTTAATAAATAAGAAAAAACAAAGCCTTTCAATTTAGAGTACTACATTCCAGCCCACCTTAGAAAACAACCAGTTTCCTTCTTAATGAAACTTATGTTTCTTAAAGTTTAGATAAGCACAGCAGGAAGGAGGAGAGAGATGCCTTCACTCCAAAACTGTTTTTCCAAACCTATTGCTGTTGTTTTTAGGGATGGTTTACTGTTAAATGTGTATATATTTGTTTCCTTCACTAACTTATAAAATCCTTGAGAGCCAAGACTGTGTTATGTGTTTCTGTTACCTTCAAGTATTTTACACAGTACACTGGACTGGAGGCCTTAAAATATTTGGTGAATTAAATATTACCATGTATCTGGGCACAAACGGTAACTGGTAAAAATAAGGCTATCAGTTTTAAGCCAGAGCTCTAAGTAACACCATGAAAAATAAAATACCCTAGACTGACAAAGGGACAATGATTTGGAGGAAGGGAACTCAGCGACCTGTGCTCTTTTTTCCACCCAACATGGCACATTAGCTTATGGAAAACTGTCAAGCTGGCAGGAAGGATTCACAGAGATTTCTAGGGTCCTCTTACATTAGGGACAATTCAGAGATTGCAGTTCACTAAGTGGGAAGTGGGAGACACTATCATGGGCAATGCACAACTCTATTTTTTTTTACCAACATTTTAATGTTGGTAACAGAATTGTTCCCTCTGGCAATCAACTCTGAACACAAGAAATAGAAGTCAACAGGAAAGAGGAATATAGTATTCAAATCTTCTTTTGAACAACTCTTTCTAGCACTATATATACAAAGCCAATCTTAGCCAATCTCATCTCAATTATAAGGATATTTACTCCTGCTCCAAAAATGTATATTAACTAAGGAATCAAAACTAAAAACAAAAACAAAAAAGCACTAGGTGAGGGAAACTATGTAACAAGATCATCAAAGACTAAAACAAAAATAAAATCAGCAATGAGAAATCCAAAGGACACACCTCCTCTAAGAAATTAAAGCTTTTTATCATCAAGATACTTCTAAGGAATGACAAAAGTGCTAATCAGAGTGTGTCCTTTAAATTATAACTATATAATCTGTATAGTTGCTCCAGAGAACATCATTCCTGTATCAATCTGGAGTTAACATCAATGCAGTCAACATCAGAGCAGCCAATATTTGTAATTCTAAATAATAATTTTGGGTTAATGTTAAATGATATATATATGTTAACGTTAAATTATCAACTATATTCTGAGAATTTTGGTTGAACATGTATGTCTATGTGATTTTCTGCAACTCTCTTCTAAACCAATCAAGAGCCCAGTACTCACACTAGTCGGTGGAATGGGTGACAAGGTGGAAAAGCAGAGAACCAGAATGAGGAAAAGATCAACAACTGTGCTGGGTCAGATTATAAATAAGAAAAAGACTAAGCAAGCTCTGGTAAAAGCATTCATTTTGGTGAGTGCACTGTGTGGTAGTTACCTTCATATAAGTACTATACACCTGGATTAGTAGATCAATATAAAAAGTTCAACTGTTGCTTAAGCAAATAAGTATTTGTCTTTCTGAATAGTAACTTCAATACAATTAAAGTGCTGAATTTCATAAGAAGTAAAGGGCCCAAACCTAAAAAAATCTAGGAATATCATAATTTTAAAATTTGCTTCACATCATAAAAATTAAGACATACGGACAAATTTTAATGCAATAGGTAATGTGTTTTATTTCCAGAATTTCAATGATTTCATAACATTTCTGTCTCTGAGAAAAAATACCACTGACCACAAAAGAAAGTAATCAATAAATAATACACTATATTATACAAAGTCACAAAAAAAAGTTTATATGGGTAAAAATGACAAATGAAATTCTACTCGGTTTACTAGATCCAAAATGATTTTATGACAATGAACTGGATATTAAAACACTTAAGGCTATAAAAGCATTGCCCCCAAAAGCACCAATAATACTGTAATAATTTCAAAATTTAAATCTTTATCCCAAAATCCTGTTAAAAAATTTAGCTGTTTTAATCTATACAAAAGATTACAGTCCTTTAAGTATGTAATCCTGAATCTGAGGTATTTATAAATTAAAGTCATAGTTAGGGAAAAGACTGAAAAGTTAAAAAAAAAAAAAAAATTACGGAGAGAAATGGGAGAAAATAAAAAATGTGGAAGTATATACTTCATTCTTATAGGAAGGAAACAGAAGATTGCTTTTTAATGGCTTCTCAGCTATTCTTCCTTGTTCTCTTTTGTGGAGTGAACAGAGATAGGCAAGAGCCTTGAGAGAAGGGAAGCTGTATAAAAAAACTAAGGCCTTCTCTTTAATAAACTCAAACAAGCTAAAAAAAGGAGGTAAACTGGTAGCAAGAGAAGAGAAAATTAAGAAGTTACTAAGAGATAAGTGGCAACCCCATGTGTGTCAGAGTAGAACTGTGCTCCATGGGGTTTTCCAATGGCTGATTTTTTGGGAAAAAGATTGCCAGGACTTTCTTCTGAGGTATACCTCTGGGTAAACTTGAACCTCCAACCTTTTGGTTAGCAACCAAGCGCTGTATGCCATGAGTTGAATCAACAGCAACTGGATTTTAAGAGATAACTACCATTTCAATTCAAAGCAAAACAAAGATTTAAGTCAAATCACTGGGAAGAATACCAAAAGTAGATTCAAAAATAATAAATGGAAAAAAAATGAAGATATGTGAAACCCAGTGTTAAAATATATCTTAGCTATTTATCTTTCAATTATTCCAAAATAATTATTGTTTTAGGGGTTGATATTGAATATATCCAATCTTTAGGACTAAGATTTTGATAATTTAAAAAAAAAAAAAGAGAGAGATCATGGCTAAATTAGGCCCAAATCAGACCCAACACTACTACTTCTTGGCATTCTTTCTAAATAATAAATACCAACCCCATTTTTTTTTTTTTTTTTTTTTGAGAAATGAATATTCCTCTTTCGAAAGCTAAAACTAAAATTACGATGGAGTGCTAGCATATGTCAATTATAATTTTTTAGTGCTAATAGCTGAGGACTTTACAAATAACCAGTTAAAACACTTCCTATATGTAAGGAGGAAACCTTGGTGGCATAGTTGTTAAGAGCTCGGCTGCTAATTTGAATCCACCGCTCCTTGGAAACCCTATGGGGCTCTATCCTACAGGGTTGCTATGAGTTGGAATTGACTCGAAGGCAATGGGTTTGGTTTTTTTTTTTTGGTTTATATGTAAGGAAATGAATGATAAAAGTTCTGCTTACCATTCTCAACATGGGCAAGCCGGTGCATGAGAGACAGCCAAACAAGGCACTGGGGAGGAGGATCCGCCATCACTGTATCTAAAAACATATTCAGCATTACCTTTTTCTGTGAAGAGAAGAAAAAATATATATATTTATATTTTTCAAACATCCCTGAACTCCAAAGATTAAATTAACCTAGGATTCTCCCAACCAAGCTTTAATAAATTACATGTTGAAATATTATAGAAAAATAAAATAATCTGTTACATTACTGTAGACACTACTACACATTATACTAGACACTGCTACTATACTCAAATGTACCTCCACACACATTATTTTATTTGAGTCTTGAAACAACCGTATAAAGGAAACAGGTCAGGTATTATTTTCCTCAATTTATAGATGAGAAACTAAAGGAATAAGACCATTTAAATGACTTGTAAAGGTTCTACGAAATTAGACACGAGGCCAGGACTAGAACTCAGGTGTCCTTCAGACGACTATTTCTGCTTTCCAGAGACAGAGACAGACATCCCACATCTGATTATAAAACAAAATCAAGGAGAGCAGGAGCTATGCCTGTTTCATTGTCTATCACATTTCTAGCACTCTGAACAGTACCTGGCACATAAGAGGCACTTAGTAGGTAATTCTTGAAAAAAATAAATAATAAAAGTGAAGAGCAAACATTCTAAGATGTCATTTAATAACTCTCTCATTTACAGAGGTGGAAACCAAAGCTCAGAGTAGTTAAGAAATCTGACAAAGTAACAAAGACAGGTATGATAAGGATGAGATTAGAACCTAAGTATTCAAACATCCTGCACAGGACTCCCTCCATTATGCCAGCTCCCTAGCTAGACTGCCTTTTTCTCAAAGATATTTCTGTTCTATTTTTATTCTTCTTTTAAACAAATATATAGTAAGTTTTGACTATATGTGAAACACGAACATAATTCTCTATGTCCCATGTGGACAAAGATAATCAGAAAACAGTCCAGGAAGATAAATTTTAAAAAGTTATATGAAGTAGATAGAACAGATTGTCAACAATATTTCAAATTAGTAAATTTACTTGTTATTTCCTCCAACCCACAAAACACCTTTCCAGCTCCAGAGAGAGAGGAAAAAGCAGTGCGATACAATCAGACATAGTGAGAGTTCTGTAACTGACACTTGGACATCTAGGCCGCCACTTAAATTTTTATTACAAAAGAAGGGCAGAGACAAAAGGGCAAACACACAGAAGATACACAGCCCAGTAAGCAGGCCTTTCCGTTCATGGTCCCACCATTCAAAGGCAAGGATGGGAGTTGGGGACTAGGTGTGCAGTAAAGTCAAAAGAACTCTTCAGACTTTCATCTCTCTCCCAGTAACTGTGTTGTCAGTCTCACCATTTTTCTTAAAGTGAAAAACACGCTACAAAAATATGAGTGTTGCCCAATAAAACTTTAAAACATTTTAATGTATTTCAGGGGAAAAAAGTAGAAAACATAAAATTGGTTAGAGCTGACCTAAAGATTTTGCCAACTGATTACAAAATAACTTGGATTTTATCACTATTATATTTAACACAGATTGAAACAAAAGAGGAAAGTCACTGGGTGATTAGTCAGGAAGACAGGTCTCCAGGATTTTCATCCCGTCCACTATGATACATTTCCAAACAATGGTTCCCATCAGGCAAAACACCAGTCTACACAGACTTACTTCTGTGTATCTCTTTGGGCAACCATGGAGGGAGTACTGTGCATCAGGTATATGTAGATTGGAAGTCATTCTTATTAAGAATAATCTTTAAAATAAACTGGTAAGCGGGGAACAGAAAAGGAGGTAAAGCAGAAGGCACACCAGGATAACAAAAACCTGGGAAAGATGAAGAAAGGTGGGGCCTTAGATTACAGACCAGCACTGAGTAGGGGGGAAGGGGAAGGGTGCTGAGATCTATGCAAAAGGGTTGACTGAGGATGATAACATTATGAGGTTATCATTCAAAGGCTCTCTCTATATTGCTGTGCATTGAAGATGAGGTTAGAGAAACGCCTGCTCAAATAGGCTAAGTAAAGGTTATTAAAGTGTTTTCCATCTCAGGCATTCAAGTTACTAATGCATCTAAGACTACAGTGGAATCTAAGAGGAATGAATGAACAACCTAAGAACAGCCGCTGAACATATGAATGGAGAATCAGACATGGAAAATGCCTCTTACTGTGGATATGCAAGTAACTGCAACAAAACAAAATGGGAAGTATTTAAAATGTTTGAGAAAGAAAATGCCAAGAGGTTTCTTTTTTTAGCTAGTGAAAGATGGTAAACAAAAATTAAACATACTATACCTTTTATTATAAATTTAATATGTAAGTTAATACTTCTGTATCTTCTTATATTTGCTATATTATCTAAACACAAAAATTAATTTTTATAAATTCACATAAAATCCTAATACTACTTTCTCTAAAAAGTTTTGATTCACCTACCATGAGGTTTTTAAAAGATGAAAAGGAACTAACATATTTTCATATCTCAGAAAATCCTCTTAAATATGCTCAAGATCAATTTCCAAAAGTTGTTCTAGGTCATGCTATAATTTTAAGTCCTTGAAAAGCATGAGGAATGAAACCGTGTCCCAGCGATATGAGGTGAGATTTTCTCCCTATACTTTAACCAAAACAAATATCACAACAGATTGAACAGAGAAGCAGATTTGAGAATTCAGCTATCTTCTAACGATCTAAACATTAAAGAGATTTGCAAAAATATAAAACAATGGCACTCTTCTCATTAATTTCTTTTTGTTTTGGAATATAGTTGTTTTTCATAAAAATATTCTATACATGTTAACATATAATAGGTTTATCACTATTATTTTTAAATGACTTAATAAATATATTTTTTAATTTCTCAGTTTTAATTCCTAATATGAAATATAGATATAAGCCACATAAACAAAACCTGTTTCAAATCCTCAATAATGTTTAGAGTGTGAAGAGGTGCTAAGAACGAAAGCTTGAGAACTGTCAGGAGAGAATTCTTAGCTCTAATACTCCGTGACTCAGCAAATAACTGTGTCAAAGTTGGCTTCTTTCCCTTTTTTTTTTTGGTTTTGTTTTTGCTCTTGAGTTGAACACATTCTTTGCATTTCTCCTTATTTTTTATAGCAGAGTAATATTTATAACAAAAACTATAATAAAAAATGAAAATACACATTCCCACAATTCTCATTTTTCTGTATTTCCCTCCAGATGTATATATATTTCTACATAATTATGAACACAGGGTAATTAAAATGTGATGTTTTTTCACTTAGCATTTTATTATTTTGCTTACAAGGCCTTCACTTCTAATCATTTTAACAGCTTCCTGATCCACTGAGCAAAAACCCATGATTTACTTATGCCTTCCTCTAGAAAACAGAGAGGTTGTTTCCATCTTTTTACGTAGTCTCATATTTTTCTTACAGGCGAGTGTTTCTGTTCTTTGCCTACCTCCTTGCCCCTTGTCATTCTAAACGAGACTGGCAATTATTATCTCAGATGCCATTCTCTCACCTCCCTCCACCCTTGATTCCTTCTTCCCTTTTTAACAGGGGAGTGAAATAATTCCTTAACAATGAGAAAGCCAGTATTGCTAAAATAACATGTGAAAACAAGTAAAACAACTTAGCACTAGATTGTCACAGCTGCAATCTCCAACTTCATCAATTCCATTAAAAACTCGTATTCCCCTACATGCAAGATATAAATATTTCTTATCCATTGCCCTATCACTTACTTGGTAATTAGTTAAACAATGTATGAAATTTAGTTAACTGTCTTGAAAACAATACTTTTAAACCTTTCAGATGAAAACATTTTTATACAAACATTTGTACCCGTAAAAAACACAAAAACAAAAAACTCATTGCCGTTGATTCCAACTCACAGCAACCCTATAGGACAGAGTAGAACTGCCCCATAGGGTTTCCAAGGAGCAGCTGGTAGATTCAAACTGCTAATCTTTTGATTAGCAGCCACGCTCTTAACCACTGTGCCACCAGGGTTCCAAAATTTGTGCAGAGTCATAGAAATATTTTATCTGACAAGGGCAAACACACATTAACTAGAACTACAGGAACAGTGCTATGGGTCAGCTTTTCAATTATTATTAGAGAGTGAACGTAAACACATCATAGATTTATTCTGGACTTTGAAAATATAGAGTAATTTGCAATAAGACAACAATATAATATTGCTTGTCCTTTTATTAGTGATGTTGTTCTGGTTGTTAGGTGCCGTCGAGTCGGTTATGACTCATAGCGACCCTACATACAACAGAACAAAACACTGCCCAGTCCTGCGTCATCCTCACAAGCGCTGTTATGCTTGAGCCCATTCTTGCAGCCACTGTGTCAATCTATCTCGTTGAGGGTCTTCCTTTTTTTCACTGACCCTCTACTTTACCAAGCATGATGTCCTTCTCCAGGGACTGATCTCTCCTGATAACATGTCCAAAGTACATGAGACAAAGTCTCACCATCCTTGCTTCTAAGGAGCATTCTGGTTGTACTTCTTCTAAGACAGATTTGTTGATTCTTTTGGCAGTCCATGGTATATTCCATATTCTTTGCCAACACCACAATTCAAAGGCATCAATTCTTCTTCGGTCTTCCTTATTAATTGTCCAGCTTTCGCATGCATATGAGGTGACTGAAGATACCATGGCTTGGGTCAGGTGCACCTTAGTCTTCAAGGTGACATCTTTGCTTTTCAACACTTTAAAGAGGTGTTTTGCAGCAGATTTGCCCAATGCAATGCGTAGTTTGATTTCTGGACTGCTGCTTCCATGGGTGTTGATCATGGATCCAAGTAAAACGAAATCCTTGACAACTTCAATCTTTTCTCCGTTTATCATGATGTTGCTTATTGGTCCAGTTGTGAAGGTTTTTATTTTCTTTATGTTGAGGTGTAATCCATACTGAAGTCTATGGTCTTTGATCTTCATTAGTAAATGCTTCAAGTCCTCTTCACTTTCAGCAAGCAAGGTTGTGTCATCTGTGTATCACAGGTTGTTAATGAGTCTTCCACCAATCCTGATGCCATGTTCTCCACATAGTCCAGCTTCTTGGATTATTTCCTCAGCATA